ATCATTGTTTGTAATAACAGTTATTGTAAATTGTATTGTTGTGTGTATATTAAAACGTATTTGTGTTAAAAACGAAAACGGTGTGTGTGCGTGTCAATCTTGTTGGCAAATATCATAAACTGACTATATATCGGCTTTTACTTAACTATTAAATCCAAAGTACAATTAAACTATAAAATTTAAATTTATCAATTAACTCAATTTTAGACCATTTGAAATTCTAATACGTAACACGTCCAAAACGTGGAGCTTTGTATGGTACGAAAAATAGTGGTCAACATAAAATGAGGAAGTCAACAGTCTTTTCAAGTAAAATTCTATTTTTTCATGTCCTTAAGAACATAATTGCTTCGAGAAGCTATTAAGTTTTGATTATGTGCAAAGCTACAAAATGATCCACCACAGGTATCAAACCCAGATTTTTAGCGTTATAAGACCTCGAGCTTACCATTGAGCTATCAGAAAGTTTTCAGTGTGGCAATTTTTAACTTTCATTTCACTAAGTTTAAAAACAATCTTACCGCTCTTCTGTAAAAATAAAATAACGACTCTCTGGGCCATTTACTACCATGATGTGTGAAGTCAAGTCAATATCATTTAGTTCCTAAAATACAGTAGTAAAATTGGGTGTCGAACTTTAAGGTGCAAGAGTCTTTACAAACATTCTTGTTTGTTTGTTTTGACGAATTTCTTGCCAAGCTACTACACAAGGGCTATCAGCGCTAGCCATCCCTAATTTTTGAAATAATAAAATAGTGGGAAGACATCTAGTTAGCAACACACCGTCAACTTTCAGGTTACTATTGCCAGACCGAATAATGCGATTTGACCGTCACTCTGACAAAGCATCGACGGCACCAAAATGTATGGGTGCGGTTTTTTTTTTTTTTTCTTTTGGCGGTAATGGGACTCGAACCATGGAACATCAGCTTCACAGTCCGGCATACTAATTATTCGGTTCTCTTGAATTGAAAGTTAATTTTTAAAATGTATTTACTAAATTTTACTTCCAGATTTTGTTCTAAGAAGGGTGGATATTTTACACAGAACAACGGCATGAGATTCAATAGACAAAAACGACAACAAAAAACAACCCCGATTATCTGGTTTGTTTAACAAAGAAAACAATTATTATATTATTATATAGACTTTTTATTGCATAAAATGACCCATAAAACAATCTATACTATTATTTTGCTTGTTTGTATGTACGACCGTTACGCTTTCTGACCGAGAACCTGCTGCATAAGCATGTGTAGTTAGAATGTTTCCCCAAGAAAATCCGCGCATGCGCGTTATTCACTCGACGACAAACTGTCTGTCTGCGGCAGAGAGCTGCAAAGCTCAGTGATCAAGTCTCTACAAT